TAGGAAGAGCTCAGATCCTGTGCAGAACCCTCAAACTCCCAGGCCTCTGGTAGAGGACCTGAGATTGAGGAAGACACAGACCACCCATAAGGGTGAGAGGGGAATTTTTTAATATATTTAAATTAAATATATTAAATATTGGAGGGATCACCTCTCCCCAGTTATATCTGCCCGTCCCACCAGATCCAGCAGAGAGGGGATGCTGCAGGTTCCATCGACTAAGGAGTTTCACTTGGCAGGTCCTAGGCAGCAGGCCTTTTGTACTGTGGCCCCCACTTTATGGAACATTTTTCCCCACAAAGTGAGGCTGGCCTCATCCTTTTTAGCTTTCTGGAGATCCCTCAAAACCTGGTTGTGTCAGCACGCTTGGGAACCCCAGGGGACTGGCAAAATATTGAGATGGATCCTGTGTAATTAACACCTCCTCTTCACCTAATCTCTTTTTTATTCTGTTTTTAGTGTTGCATCTTTTATAATTTTAAAGTTTTTAATATAACTAATATTAATTTGTATATTTTGTTTTTAACTTTGTTGTGCACCGCCCAGAGTCACTTGATTATGAGATGGGTGGCTATTTAAATATGACAAATAAATAAATAAATAGTGTCCTGCTCCAGAGCACATCCAGAAAGAGACAATTGGTATGTGGAGGAGCCTACAAGCCAAGCTAGGATTAAGAGTTTGAAAAGTTGAAAATACTAGGGAAAAGATTTAAGAAAGTTATGACAGCAGACTGAAGGTTGGTTGCTCTGTCTTTTTCTTGAGACAATAGGGTTAGAACCTGTAATGGTCTGTGGGAATGGCCTTGGGAGATAGGAGGAACAGCCACACACTGGACAACCATCTTATAAAAGATCTCAGTCCACAGAAGGAGAAGAGGTGTGGGAAGTGTTTCAGAAGGGACCCTCCCTCATTTTCTGGAGAATAAAAGGAGAAGAGGGGAGAAATACTTTCAGACTTGCAAGACTGATGTTAGCCCTTCAGACAAGAAGCACAACAGTGAATACCAGCTCTGTCTTTATTGTAAAGTTACATTAACAGAATCTTGCAAGAGAATAGATGCAATCCATGGAGGTGGGGAGAATCTTGTATGACAAAATAAGTGCACTGAAATGTGCAAATACTTTAATGCGCTGCTTTTAGCCCTCCCCCCTCCCCTCTGATGCCACTGAAAATTGATGATTTTCACTGAATTTAAGTAAAGCAACTTGCATTTGTCAGAAGAGAATAACTCCCCTGCTCTATTTCCTTTTAAGGGGCTGGATATTTAGGACACCCTCAATTTTTTTTTTTTTTTTTGAAAAAAGGACCTCTCGGTGATAAGAGTTTCATGTCTGATGAGTCATTGTGTGCTTCTCTGAAGATGGTACCTTTAAAAAACAAGGGTGGGGTTTTTTTTTTTCATACATCCGGATTGATTTTAGCAGAGGTGTTCCAACAGGCTAGTTTAATTTCATTTTGACAAGAGAGGACACACCTCTTTTTTACTTACCCAAAATACGGAAATGAAGGAGAACTGAGCAAAGGGGGGGGGGAATAGAGGAAGTCTTCCTCTGCAACTGTGGTTCCATTTCTGTCTCTCGCTGTTGCACAAAGAGTTGTTAAAGGAGTGAAAGCTCTGCTGCTAGCAACTCTATCATGTCCCCTGGAAAAGCTTGGTGAATCGAGACGATAATTGGCCCATCCTGGTGGTAGGTTAATCTTGGCCACCAAGCTGGAGAGCAGACAGGAAGAAGGCCATGGTAAGTCCCATCCTACCAAAAAAAAAAAAAAAAAAAATGGGGGCAGAGCAGGAGGGTGAGGAAATTGGTGTGTGAAATCTTGGCATCCTATTTTGAACCACTCAAAAAATTGGGATTAATATCCTGGTACATATAGATAGTGGGAGAGGAGGATAAGAGGGTATCTTTCCTGCAAAAATGACCACAAATACACATGCATTGTGATTAATATTGCTGGATCCTTGTAGATATTTGAAATAAATGTTCACCTCTACATAACTACTGAATGCCAGCTGGAAGTTAAATCAAACTGAGACTTGAAGGACCTGTTTGAAAATTCAAATCAATAGGACATTTATTTTGGATGGGGACCATTAGAGTGAACTAGAGCATTATTTTACTTTCTGAAATCTGGGGTATTGGGTGAAATTTCTTCTCGTCACCTTGAATTTTTTTTTCTTTTCTTTTTCCTGGTGACAGTCATTCTTGTTATTCTGGGTAGAATTCCTCAGTTTAGATCATGTGTGTTTCAGTTCTGTGAAGCATTTTGGTGGATAAAATAAACAGAATAGGCATGTTCAGGATGGATCCCCCCATTTTTTCAATCACTCCAAATCTTGCAAGATTATTAAATCTATTGAGACTTTGGGGAATCTTGTCACAGGACTTTCAGATCCAAATTCTAGAATTCTGAACCATCTAATCCAAGAACTCTGAAATCTCATGAGATTAATCACATGTGATTTCAGCCTTTAAAAAGGAAATAAATTATTTAATATGGAGTGGGGGGTGGGTTCTGTGGATGCCTTAAAACCATAGGCATCATGTTATTGATCTCTGTTGCGCCACTCGAAGACTCAAGACATGGCCATCACTGGTATTCATTGCTTGATGCTCTCCAAAGCATCTGATAATGTCAGCCAGGAACCTCTCCTCTGCACCTTTCATGTGTATTGGATAAAATCTCAAATTCCTCCAGCCAGTCAATTGGAAATTAAGAAGGTAAAGTCCAATTCATCTAGAGGGCATCAGATTGAAAAAGGCTGATGTTACCCACTGTTGGAATGCTAGATTAGAAGGACTATAAACAACCATACATTCTAATGTTCTTTGGTCTAGTATAACTTTTCCCAGAATGTCGCTTTCTGAACCTTCCACCATGTTAGGCCTTGACCATGATGACCAGACTAATGGGTGTTGTAGGCCAACATTCTGGAAGTCACTGAGGAAACTGTCCTAAACAACTTTAAGAACAATTACAACAGTAAAAACATTGCAATTTTATTTTGCAAAATTTAACAGCAGACAGCAGTAGGATGTACCTCCAGAGAACATCAGCACTTTCAGGTCAGAGTCAAGTGGGGGGAAATGCCATCGTTTCCAAGGATTCTCCTCTGAATCTAATCCTTATTGAGGCAGCCAACTTACTATATAACTGGGACATGCTGCCAGTTATATAGTAACATGTCCCCGTTATATAGTAGAAGAGCTTACAAGATGGAACTTTATTTATTTATTTATTTATTTATTTATTTCAAATTTATTTCAAATTTATTTCAAATTTGTTATTGCCCATCTCACTGTAACACGATTCTGGGCGGTGACAAATTTATTTTACGGGAATAATCCTTCCCTTAAAAAAACAAAGCTTTTATTTAAAAAGAAATCCCCAGATGCAGAAAATAAAATGCCAAGACTAAGATAATTCTGATATCTTTCTCCTTCCTGTGCATCTTGAGAATGCACCTACAAGAAATGCCTGAAGCTCATGTGCAAAGTCAGAAAGTCCTACATTCCTCAAAACGGGTGAGATGCTTCTTTTGAGTCAAAGGAAGCAAAGTCTGGATCGGCTGTTCATACAGAGCTGCATTTTAAGGCCTGCTCTGCAAACTAATTTCTTGGAGGGGCCGGGTGTGCCTCTTTGATGTTTTAATGCCTTGCACAACACTGCTAGTTTAGAAATTTGATTGCTTGAGGCAGGTTCCTTGCTCGCTTGCTTTTAGTCTTTTCGAAACTGCCCTGGGAAATACAGAGCATGACTTTCTCAATGTCCATCCGCCCCCTTCCAACAGTTCTCCTTTTTCCCTTCCCTTTACTGAAGTTCTTCAAACCACAGTGTCAAAACTCAGAAGAAGGTGGTAAATGATGCTTTGCAAGCTAGAGGCCTAATGCTCTCAGTGTCTCAGTGCATTGTGGAAAGTCCTTTTTGCTTTCTGTCTGTCTGCGTCTAGGATTTTGTTATCCTAATTTAATTCAGGGGTGCAATTAAGTAAATTTAAGGGTGGGGGCTGTTATGGTCATCCTACCTTGAAAGCATCTGATCTTGTCTGATCTCAGAAACTAAGCAGGGTCAGGCATGGTTAGTACTTGGATGGGAGACTGGGAATAGTGGGTGCTGTAGGCTTTTGTGCCCCTTTGAGAACTAGTTTAGGGTAGTGGCTAAGGTGCTGATCTAGAAGTTTGGTCTAGTGGTGAAAGCCCCAGGCTAGAAAGCAGAGACTGTGAATTCTAGTCCTGCCTTAGCCATGAAAGCCAGCTGGGTGACTTTGGGCCAGTCCCTCTCTCTCAGCCCCCCTCACCTCACAGGGTTGTTGTTGTGGGGAAAATAGGAGGAGGAAGGAATATTAAGTATGTTTGTCGCCTTGAGTTATTTATAAAAATAGTAAAGGCAGGATAAAAAAATCTAAAAAAAATGGGCGTAACTTCCCCTCTTTAAAATAAGGCAATCTGCTAATCTGTGTTTGCTCAGCCCACCTTGGGGGGAGATACTCAGTCTTGATAGTGGCAAGAATTTGAAAGGTAGAGAAGTTTGTGTGCAACTCGAATTCTGACTGGTTCCTTGCAATAGAATTGTGTTACGCCAAGCCTAGGGTCATACGTCACACTAAGCCATAATGTGGATTGCTTGTTTATGACTTAGCTTGGTAAGGGCAAATAGAGCTAAGCATGTTCATAGCTAAGAGGAGCATGTGAACCTAGAGCAGCTCTTAAAATGCTCGTTCTGTACCAAACCTACTTCAAGATACGTGCTATCATCTTTAAAGCTTCAAGAATAAGAGTTGGCAATTTAATTGCAGATGGAACCCACTCTTCAGATTGTCCTCTAAGGCCTCAGAGAGTGTGGCTGTTGTGTTACTGTTGTGTTATTGGAGTGGACTAGGGGAACATCTCGGGGCTGCAGAGGTTTCAGTTTGGGCCATCAGATCACAAAAGCATCTTTTTAATTAAAAGAAACTTGAACAAAGAAATGGGGAGGGGGAGGGATATGTCTTTGGAGATATTAGGGGCTCAGCTTTAATTCCCTTGGACAAAAAAGGCTATGTTCCAGAGGCCTTCTAAAGTGGGCAGCACTATAATCAGTGGTGACTGCCCAATAAAACCAAAATGACAACATGAGTGTGGTGATTACAGGATACATCATACCTCTAATTCCATATTGCTAGGCTGCTGAAAGCCAAAAGCTATGCTCCTAGCAGACCAAGGCTCACACATAACGTTCAAGAATGAGATGAGCTCTCGAGCTAAATCAGTCTGGTTCATATAACATACTAAGCTCTAATGGCTGTTTTTGATTCAGCGTCTTGGGTGAACTCTGCTATTTTGGTTGATAGACCATGGTTTGGGCTTAGCATGTTCTGCGCATTCAGCAAATGGCTTATTCAACGAATCATACTTAAGCAAATAATGGCTTACTGGGATGGAAGAGTCCAAAGACAATGTAATGGTCTGTGGGAATATCCTTGAGAGACAGGAGGAGAAAGAGCCACAGCCAGGTCAATGGTCAGATAAGAGACATCTCAAGCCACAGAAGGAATGGAGATGTGGGAAGCATCTCAGAAGGGACCCTCTCTAGTTCCCTGGAAAGTAAAGGCAAAGGGGGAGAGAAATGCTTTTAGACTTGCAAGATTCTGTCACTGTAACCTTACAATAAAGGCGGTGTTAGGACTCATGGTACTGCTTTCTTGTGTGGACTACCTCGAAGGGCTGATAGACAGCGATCAAGACACATCCAAGAGTCAGAAGCCAAGCCAGAAACCTGGCAAGGTTAGAAGCCAATAGGGACTGTCAAAGTCCCATTTAAAACTCACCTTGAGAGCCCCTTGCAAAATTCCTACTCATGACTAGGAACGTGGCCCTAAACATATCTTACAAGGAGGCCAGCTTTTTGTTTCTTGAATGAATACATTTAGGCTAACTGAGCCTGCGCCCTCCAACAATGGGACACTTGCGGCCAGACTCAGATTCCTTCTCAAAATCAAAAGGTACCTCCTGGAGAGATGGATCCAAGGCTATATTTTCATGGGACCAGGCTCCCCGCTAGTCAAGTGCAATCCTTCTAGAAGAACATGGTTGTTAGAAGACCTCCAAATCTTTCTTTTGAGCCTTGAGAGCAAAGCAGACACTGAAAATTGAGCAAAAAGCCTGCCCTGATCTCAGAATCCTCCCTATTACCTCAAAAGTCATAAAAGTCAATGTTTCTCTGTTGTTGGAGAAAGAGACACAAAAGATTCCAAATATGAGCTGGAAGAATGCCATGAAATGCTCAACTTTTCCTGTTTCCGGACTCATACCTCCAACACAAACCACATATCAGCCATCTCCAGATCACTTGCTAATACCAATGGGGAGAAAATCATTTGTCATAGTTCTTATGTTGCCTGGGGGATAATGAGAGCTTTAAGTCCAGTCCATCTAAACCAGTGTTTCTCAACCTTGGCAACTTTAAGATGTGTGGACTTCAACTCCCAGAATTCCCCAGCCAGCATGAGGAGTCTGAGCTGTTGGTAAGTTCAGTTCAGGCCAGCATCTTTGAAAAACAGAGCTAGAAAAGGTGGAGCAGAGGGCAACCAAAATGATTGGGTAAAGGAGTTTGAATACCTTTCCTACAAGAAAAGACCGGAATGTTTGGGATTCTTTCATTTGGAAAGGAGGATGACTGAGGAGAGATCTGATTGAGATAGAAACAATCACACATGGTCTGGAGAAGTTTCCTTTCCTCTTTCAAAACATCTGGACCAAAA